AGAGAGAAAGAATGTGGACCCTAAAAGACATGAAGACAGGGATTCAAACAGCTACTTGCACACCCATGCTCACAGCACTAGCCGCAGGGTGGCAACAACCCAGGTGTCCGCCAGCTGGTGCATGAATCAACACACTGTGGCCCACTGTGCAATGGAACGTGAGGCAGCCGTGAAAGGAATAAAGCGCTGACCCGAGGCAACGCAAATGAACCTTGAAGACATCACGCTGAGTGAAAGCAGTCAGGCCCCAGAGGCACCTATAACATGATCCTGTTCATAGGAACCACCCAGAACCAGACAGAAAGCAAATGAGTGACTTTCGGGGACGGGCAGAAGGCGGATGGGGAGGGACTCGTGAGTATGAAGTTGCATTTAGGGCGAGGAAAATGTTTAGAAACTACAAGGAGTTGGTGGCGATGCAACCCTGTCAATGCACTAAACATCACTGAGCGGTTTACTTTAACACAGTTAGCTTGAGGTTATGTGAATGTCATGTCAGTTTCATTTTTTAAAAACTGTGCTACCTGAGAAAGATGCCAGCTGCCTGCTGGCTCTCTGGCCGGCCCCCATCAGCCCAGGGGCAGACGTGACCCTCTGCCCACCGTGTGTGGGTGTAACTTGTTGTCAAGGGCATCTATAGCCAGGTCACAGCTACATCCTGCACCATGCAGTCCCCTCCGTCTCGGGGTGTTCATCCCCACGTATCAGGAAGGTCTGCTTTGGAAAGAGCCTTTCTATGCAACCAGGAGCATTTGAGATCCCATTTTCCTTCCCTGTATTGATTTCCGGGCAGTCTGCCCAGAGTGGACACTGCTGTACAGCATGGGGGTGTCACCATCAGCAAAGCCGTCCAACAGTGGCACTGGGGGATCCCTGGGGTGCTGAACATAAGCCAGCTAGAACCGCACCACTCCTCTTCCGGAGAGAGGGACAGGGAACACCTCCTCCGCTCCAGCCAAAGTGACTCCAACCTCCCCAAGCAACTGAGGCCCCCAGATCCCGGCCCGCCACTTCTCCAGACAACTCCTAAATCATAATGGCCACTAAATCCAGCCCCCAGGGGCTCTATAGTGGACCTTCCTCCTGTGCCTCCAGAGACAGGCCGCCTTGCCAGTACAAGGAGTCGGGGGTGCCGCCCTGAGGATGCTGTAGAGAAAGACCAAGGAGACCCGCTTCTCCTGGCCACTTGCAGCCCGGAATGGCCCCAGACTGTCAGCCCCAGGAAAGACCCAGCCCTGTTCATTCTCCGCCTCTCCAGCTAGGTTTCTGTGACCTGCAGCTGCGTGCTCCGAACTGAACCACTAGCTAAGGGCTGGCCACAGGAGGTCCGCAGGCCAGTGCTGCCCACTGACTGACACCAAAGTCCAGGAATGGTTACTCCCCATGGCTGGGTTAGCTAGACGTGGAGAGCAAGCCCTGAGAACTGTGGATGGTAATTTCCCACAGTCATTGGCAAGGCATCCGGCCAAACAGGGCATCTTGCTGTTCAGGGAGGCTCCAGGCATGTGGTATGAGTTGCGTATGCGTCATAACCACTGGACCACACACCAGTCCATGATGCAGGGAGATGTAAATGATGGCGGAGACTCAGCAATGGCTGCTTTTGTAAAGGGGGATATAGCCCAGTGAGGGAAAGGGAAGATGGCATGTGGGGCTTAAAACCTAGATGATGGTTTGATGGGTGCAGCAAACCACCGTGGCACATGTACACCTATGTAACGACCTGCACGTTCTGCACATGTATCCCAGAACTGAAAGGAAAATAAAAAATTGCCAGGCACGGTGGCTCACACCTATAATCCCAGAACTTTGGGAGGCTGAGGCGGGCAGATCACAAAGTCAGGAGATCGAGACCATCCGGGCCAACATGGTAAAACCCCCATCTCTACTAAAAAAATACAAACAAACAAAAGAATTAGTCAGGTGTGGTGGCACCTGCCTGTAGTCCCAGCTACTCAGGAGGCTGAGGCAGGAGAATTGCTTGAACCCGGGAGGCAGAGGCTGCAGTGAGCCGAGATCGCACCACTGCACTCCAGCCTGGGCAACAGAGCGAGACTCTGTCTCAAAAATAAATAATTAATTTTAAAAATTAAAAAAGAACCTGGGTGCAGAGGAAACAGGGCCCTTCCAGGGGTTTGAGTCCCAGCTCAGCCACCGCCTGGGGTCCTCAGTCTCCTCACTACTGAGTGGCCTCAGTAATTGCCCCAGGCCCTTCCTGCTGGGACACAGAGCACTCCCTGGACACTATCCTCGAGCTTTCTTGGCCATTTAGCACAGGGACATGCTCATGAATATGAAATAACTAGGCCAGCTAGGAAAGGCCATGGAAGGTTTCCAAACACTGAATATGCAAAAATTATGATGCTGATATACTATTTGTTGGTAGCAGACATTCGGGGAAGATGCCCAGAGGGATTCATTCTTAAATTGTCAATACACAGGGTTGAATTGTGAACCCCTCACCCCCTGCAAAAACAGATATGTTGACACTTTGGGAGGCCGAGGCAGGTGGATCATGAGGTCAAGAGATTGAGACCATCCTGGCCAACGTGATGAAACCCCATCTCTACTGAAAATACAAAAATTAGCTTGGCGTAGTGGCCCACACCTGTAGCCCCAGCTAGTCTGGAGGCTGAGACAGGAGAATTGCTTGAACCCGGGAGGCAGAGGTTGCAGTGAGCCAAGATCACGCCACTGCACTCCAGCCTGATGACAGAGCGAGACTCTGTCTCAAAGGAAAAAAAAAAAGAGACAAAACAAAAAACATATATGTTGAAATCCTAACCCCTAGTACTGTGGGGCATGGCCTTATTTGGAAATGGAATTGTTGCAGATTCAAGTAGTTAAGATAAAGCCACACTCAGGTAGAAAGGCCCCTAGTCCAACATGACCGGCGTCTTTATAAAAAGAAGGCCATGTGCACACGGGGGCACAGACTGGAGGGAGGTAGCTGCAAGCCAAGGTCCACCAAAGATTGGGCGCATCCAGCAGAAATGAGGTAGGGGCAAGGGAGGACTCGGCCTTACAATGTTCCGAGGGACTGGGGCTTTGCCAGCACCTTGATTTTGGATGTCTGGCCTCCAGAACTGGGAGAGAACAGATTTCTGTTGTTTAAGCCACACAGGCTGCGGGACTTTGTTACGGTGGTGCCAGGACATTGTGAGTGTGATGTGAGGGCTGGGGTGGAGGGAAACCTCAAAATGAAGCCAGCCCAGTCCCCAGGGGACAGGGAGAGGAGAGCAGGTTATGAATAACCTGGATCTGCACTCGCAGGCCCAGCTCGTGCGGGCACTAACTGTGGGAGCTTAGGCCCATTCCCTAAAATCTCTGAGTTCTTCTCATTTCTTCCCTGAAGTGGAGCTGATGGTGACGGCAGGGACAAAGCATAGGAGCTCAGAGGCCGTGGATAGTGGTGAGGTCCTGAGGAACCTGTCTGCCAGCCTCCTCTCACCTCTGCAGTCTCCAACAGCGTTTCTGTTATATACACTATTAAAATGCAGCGAAGTCCCCACCAACTGGGAGATTCCATGTGTCTAAATGATTCTGCTGTGTATTTGTATGATAATCATAGATCAAGCAAAAGCTACTAACACAATGAGAAAGAATGTTGAACAACATGAATATCTACAGTCCTTGTTCTTGAGCCTGAGCAATTACATCCCTATTATATTCGGTACTTCCTGCCTTGGTTATGCCAGTGTAGTGCTCTACTGGTTACAAGTGAAAAGTAGCACTTAATCAATAACTTCTATGGGCCAGGCTCTTTATGAAGTAGGAATTATTATTATTCCCTTTTCACAGATGAGGAAAATAAGGCACAATTCACATGCAGCATGCACAAAGCCACAAAATTGTTAAGTGTCAGAGCCAAGTTGTGAATCCAGGGAGTCTAGTTTCAACCTCACAAATCTTAGCCTCACAAAGGATTCTTAGTTACCATTAGACACTCATAACAACCTTATGAGGTAGGCAGAGCATGTTGCAAAGAAAAATTCATCTACTATGTCTGAAACATAGTAGATGAATGAATTCATGAATAAGTAGATGGATGGATGAGTGAGTGGATGGATTAATGGACAGATGGATGGATGATGGAGGATGGATGGACAAATGGATGGATGGATGGATAGATGAATGAAGGGATGATAGGAGGACAGATGATAGATGGATGAATGAATGATGATAGATGGATGACAGATGGATAGATGGATAGTTGAATGAATGGATGGATGGATGACAGATGAATGGATGGATGGATGAATGGATAGATGGATGGATGGACGGATGATGGATGGATGATAGATGGGTGGATTAATGAATGAATGGATGGATGGATGATCAATGGATAGATCAATTGATGGATGGATGATAGATGAGTGGATGGATGGATGATAGATGAGTAGATGGATGAATGGATGGATGGATGGATGATAGATGAATGCATGATAGATGAATGGATGGTAGATGGATAGATGAATGAATGGGTACATGCATGGATGGATGGATGGATGGATGGATGGATAAATGATAAATGGAAAGATGAGCAGATAGATGTATGGGTGGATGACAGATGAACCACATAGCTCGTAAGTGTCAGAGCCTATAATCAAACTCAGGTGTCCCAACTCCAAGTGTAGTGCTTTTCTTCCCTAGTTATGACATTCCCTATAATATCAATGAATGAAGGAGGAAGTTTAATTTCTATTCATGAAAGAACACATTATCTATTAATGAGAATGCATTTCACACATACGCTATTTCTTATAGGGTTAAAGAAATAGATTGACCCGTTCTTCCCAGCAATTTAAGAAAATGAAGAGTGAGGAGAAGCAGGTTGTCCTAGCACCTTGACCAACAGTCACCTGATGACCAGCTCAGGGGCCTGGGACACAACTCTGAGATTCTGAATGTATAGGCCTGGGGTGTGGCCCGGGACCTGTGTCTACTTTTTCAGTTTCCCAAATGCTTCGAATGAGAACCAGCAGTTGAGTCACCGGCCAAGACCTCCCTCCTCCTGTTCCCCAGCTTCACGGCCAAGACCTGAGCAGCATTCAGATTCCGGTTCACACCCTGCATCCAAACCTCAGAAGTTCTCATACAGGGAGAGAAGGGAGAGGGTCATCACGATTAGGGAAAAAAACAACAAAAAAGGAAAACCAACTAGGATTAGGCTAAGCAGCAAGAAAGAGAAAAAAATCAAAATAGCAGTGGCTTAAAGCACATGGAAGTTTCTTTCTTTCTGTCATAAAAATGGGGGCCAGGCTGGGCACAGTGGCTCACGCCTGTAATCCCAGCACTTTGGGAGGCTGAGGCGGGCAGATCACGAGGTCAGGAGATCGAGACCATCCCGGCTAACACGGTGAAACCCCGTCTCTACTAAAGATACAAAAAATTAGCTGGGCGTGGTGGCGGGTGCCCGTAGTCCCTGCTACTTGGGAGTCTGAGGCAGAAGAATGGCGTGAACCCAGGAGGCAGAGCTTGCAGTGAGCCGAGATTGCGCCACTGCACTCCAGCCTGGGTGACAGAGCGAGACTCCGTCTCAGAAAAAAAAAAAGTGGGGGGTCAGAACCCAGGCCTGCCTTGGCCACTTGCCCACAGTGTCCTGGGGAAGCTGGATCCCTCCACAGACTGGGCCCCATCGCCCTAAAGAAGAAAGAGGCAGAGGACAGGCACAGACGTCTTTTAAGGAGGGTGCACCGCTAAAAGTTGTCACATGACTTTCCCACTTAGATCTCATTGGCCAGAACTTACTTACATGGCCGCACTTAGCTGCCAGTTTGGAATTACAGTTTTTATTCCTGGCAGCCACGTACCAGCAAAAGCTGGGGTCGCTATTCCTGTGAAAGGGGAGGAGAACAGATACTATGGGACAACTAGTGGTGTCTCTCTTAATACCCAAAGCACACAATTTCCCCCAAACCAATGTATTTTTTTCAAAATAAGATGATGGACTATACAGAAAATAAAATGTTTTTCTGGAAAATTGATGTGGAGTTTTGAAAATACATGCAATGTAATTGGCTGATGGAAGTTTTAAACTGAGGACGAACAGACATGCCATTTTTTGCATCTTTTGAATAAAATAGCTTTTTCTTGTGCATGCATTTGTGCGTGCGTGCACACACACACACGTTGACATGGTCTGATTATAGCTTGCGTTCTTATCTCTTAACAACCCACTGGGTGTATCATTTACCCAGTGTCAGAAAACTTCACCAGCCTGATATTATGCAGCTCAAAACATTTCATTATGTAACTTTGTGCCTGGCCTTTTGAAGTCTCAGTGTTTCCATCTGTAGCATGGGTACAGTAATAGCTCGTGCTCCTAGGGTTGCTGAGAGGATCATATTACATTCTGCATGTGAAGAACGTAGCGCCAGGCTGACACATAGCAGCTCTCAGTGAAGAGTAACTATTAGTATTTCTATTATTATAAGCCTCTTAGAAGTCTCTCAAGAGTTCTGCATTTCAAAACAGTTGCTTTTTTGTTTATATGCTGGTGAAAAGGAATTGGTTGCATCTTTTCTTTCATTGTCTAAACCAAGTCATCAACTCACCTTCAGACCTGACGAGGGGTCCCCAGGACATCTGGTGTGTGGCAGAGGTTTCACTATTTTGCAGCAACCGAAAGTTATTGCAATTCTGGTTTTTTCCAAGAGAGAAACATCAAATTAATTGAACAACACTTACGAGAAAGGAGCTACTAGCAAGGATGCTAATGTGATTCATGCGATTTTATCCTGCTAGAAGTTGCAAGGCAAGGGGGTTAAGATTAGACGGAGGAGTGGGAGACCCGGTGAGACCAGGGTGGTGGGTCCTGGTGCAACAAGAGGCAGGCCCAGGCGTCAGCGGGGAAGGAGGCGAGGTCTGAAAGAGCAGCAGGCTGGAAGAGACCCCTTGAGCTGCTTTTGGTTCCTAGAGCTGCTTCCTTGGGTCCCTTGAGGACTGTCTTGGCCACAGCCCTAAGAGTCCCTCTGTGTTCTCCAAAGGCTGCTGCAGCCATTTGCTCCCCTCTACACCTCTGCCTTACAAGAAAGACTGCCCAGCTCAGTGACATGGTAGGATCTGCTCACTAGATGCCTGAGATGGGCTGCAACATGTCCTCCAAAAAGGTATGGAAGTCCTAAATCCCAACACCTGTGCATGTGACCTTATTTGGAAACATAATCAAGCTGAGGTCATCGGGGTGGGCCCTAATCCACTATGGCTGGGGTCCCTATGTAAAGGGGAAATTTGGACACAGACATAGATGTGTACTGAGGGAAGGTGATGCAAAGAGACAGGGCAAATGTCATCTACCAGCCAAGGAACGCCTGAGGCCACCAGAAGCTGGGAGAGAGGCCTGGGACAGATCCTCTCTTTAGAGCTCTCAGAGGGAACCAGCCCGCTGACACCTCCATCTTGGACTTCCTGCCTCCAGAATCAAGACAACATGTCTCCACTGTTTAAACCGTTCAGTTTGTGGTACGTTCCTACAGCAGCCTGGAAAGCTCATACACTATCCACTCTAAAAGGGCTTGAAAAAAACAGTGTGCCGCTCCTCTTGTAAGGAATCCTCTTGTAAAGAACTTGAGAGCCAGCCACTCCCTGCAGAGACCAAGCCTGGCAGTGGCCGTCTGTGTGTCTGTCATCTCTGAGGCTCCGATGGAACCAGGGGCAGGCTCCTCGTGTGTGGCCCTCAGCCTGCTGTCATTAGGACGTGAGGTTCCTTCTGTCCCATTGCTCAGGAAGATCTACCGTTTGAGCAAAACGGACATGAACAGAATCAGCCTTCCTTGTGTTGCTTCTCTATCCACGTCCCACAGACGCTCAGAGCTCGGTCACCCAGGAAAATAGCCGCGTTCTGCGACGCGTGCTCAGATGAGCACAGGAACAAGCACTCCCTCCGAGGAGAGAGAAGCATTCGGTCACTGAGCAAAAAGCAGTGTGCACCCTAAGCTCTCCCCTGCCTCGGACGACAGGCGACCAACACGTGGGAACCTCATGTACTTGTCTGTGATATAAAGCACAGCTTTCAGACCTCAGGATTACAAAACCTATTTCAAATTTGAAAGTCTAAGGAAATGGGAATGTAAAATTAGCCCTGCCTAAATGTTGAAGAAAGGAAAGGGGAAAAGAACTTTATTAAATAACAGAGTGGCTGATATTTAGTATGTTCCATCAATGTGGTTAAAAATAATATTTAAAAAACATTTTTACACCTAAAAATCACCTTAGAAGCACTAGGTATCATGGCAAGGCAGTGCCGATGTGACAGCCGGTTGAACATTATGGCCTCAAAAAGGAAATTAGCTCAGCCACTGAGAAATGGGAAATGCCCACCAGTTCACATGAGTCCTCCGTGCAAGGGCTGCCTGCTGTGGAAATACCATTTCAGACGCAGAGTCTGCAGGACAGGCACAGCGACTCCTCCCAGAGGTCGGCCCCGAGCCACTCGAGCCCCAGGCTGCTATTAACAGAGCCTTGCATCATAACGATAAGCAATGTGAATCCAACCAAACGTTTAGAAAACCAAAAGCACACTTACGATTTTGCACGTGGCCCCGGGGGATTCCATGCAGATGCGGAGTTTGCAGTGCAGGTAGACGATGGAGTTGTTGATAAAGGAAAAGATCCTCAGCTTGAACTGAGCCTTGCTGGAGTTGCCATTCTCAATCACGCTGGTGTATGTGTTGGGCACCGGGCAGCTGAGAAGAGAGGAAAAGGGACTCCTTGCTTGTCAGCGAGTCCTGCTGTCCTTGTTCTCAGATAAGGTTGCTCACAACTACATCTGACAATGCTCACAGATCCCACAGGCTCCATGGGAGTCGAGGACTGGCCACCTCATTTATTCCCCAAAACCCAGGTCCATGACAGCACTTGCCTGAAAATCCTGCAGAGTCCAGAGTCAGCCACACAGCCAGGCCAGGCAACGGCAGTGCCCGCTTGAGCCCTACCCGTTCTTAATGAAGCCGCAAGCATTGCTGGATGGGGGTGCCTGCACTCCTGAGCCCTACCCGTTCTTAATGAAGCCGCAAGCATTGCTGGATGGGGGTGCCTGCACTCCTGAGCCCTACCTGTTGTTAATGAAGCTGAAGGTGACCGGGTCCCGGGCGTTGCTGGACGGGGTTGCCCAGCACTCCATCAGGACCACCTTGAGGTTGCTTTTCTGCCTGTAGAGCCCCACTTCGATCTTGACGTCGTCACTGGCAGACACGCTATAATTCTGAGGTATGGGAGAGTCCCCGATAAACAACTGCATTTCGGTAACAAAATTTCCAGCGCCGTGGAGGTCCTCAATGATGGTGTAAACCCTGCAAGAGGAAGCAGCTTGCAGGAGGTGGCTTTCAGGAGGTGCATTATCGTGGCCCCTCTCGTTCCCACTTCTCCCCCAAAACACAGCTCCAGAGGAGCGTGCAAATGAATGAGAAGATCCCCCACTGCCAATGAGAGCACACGGAGGCCATGTGTTCAAGACTGGCTGGTCCAGGGGTTGCCTCCCTCACTTGTGTTGGTGGAGACTCAGTGGCAGGTGGGGGGGCCACCTAGCATAGGAATAGTGGTGTCTGGTGGAGGCCGTGGGTGGGGGCCTGCCCGTGGCTCACTGGAAGTGGGGCCATCCCATGGGGTTGGCCAGGGACGTATTTGGCCTTGTCTGGCTGGCCCTGAGTGGGAAGTGGGAACAAAGGTTGGGGAGCAGCCCAGCCACACCCATTTGTATATTCCATCTCAAAGGAAGGGTCTTTAAGTGGTTGCAACCCTAAAGAACTCTGAAAGCGCAGGTGCTCTAGAGGCACGGGGCTGTGGAGCAGCGGGGGCATTTCTCCCTCACCCCCACTCCGGGGTGAAGCCGGAGGACGTCAGCAGATCATTCTGGAAGGCACAGTAGATGGGGCTCAGGATCTTCAGGTGGTGGATGATGCCCTCCGGGGACAGGTCGTTCCTCAGCGTGGTCCTCACCACGGTGTTCGTCACATTCTGAGCACAAAGTGGGGTGTGAGGAGCTCCCAGGCCCCAGCCGGCCCCCCACGGCCTGCTGTCAGCCATGGCTCTAGGTGCTGGGGGGACCGGGGATGGGGATTCTTCTCTAGAGCTTCTCCCCAGGAGCATTGAGACCCTGGCGATTCTCCCAACCATAAATCGCCCAAGAGAGCCTAAGGGCTCGGCCTCTGCCCTTTCCCTGTGGACCAGAGGAGGCAGAACCGGAACCTGTGTGGATTCTGTGGCCGTTGCACAAATAAGTCTTTCTGGGAAACTTAGTTTTTGACAAGTGTCAAAAACCATCAAGAGCTCCTGTGGATTCCAGGGCCTGGGTGACTCATCAGAGACAAATTTCCCTTTTCTTTCAACATGCCCCAAACCCTGCTGCATTTAATAATCAAGCCAAGCATGGGTCTAGCTCAGAAAAACACAGACGGAGCTGCCGGCTGCAGGCTCCGCCCGGGGCCCAGCCCTGGGAGGCGCTGCCGCCCCCCTGGAGCTGCTGGTGTGTGGGTGGTGCTCTGAGCACCAGGCAGGGTGTCCTGCACCCTCAGCCCCTCCACTCAGCCTCACAGCCCTGCACAGGCTCGAGGATGCCACAGTGGCCCGCTTATGTGCACCTCTCACCCCAGACCTCCCTCACCACGGAAGCTGCCAGAAGCCACAGGAGCCACTGATCACTGCCCATCCCCCTTGCAGACATCCCCCCTGCTGCCATCGCCCGGCCTCCAGGTGGTTGTCTAAGAATCTCTGAGGGAGTAAACTAATTCTGGGCAGTTCTCCTTAAGTCGTGCAGTTTGAGGGGTTGAGGGATGAGGAAGGTTTTGTAGCTGTTGAAACAGTGCAGGTCACTCCTTCAGCCCAGGGAGGGTCTGAAGAGCCCCCGAGGGAGCGGAATGAGCTCAGCAGAGTGAGCTGCGCCTCTCAGGCAAGCTTGTGCTCTGCAATGTCCTCGAACACGTCCATGTGAATCCCTCAGCTTCCTGGCCACCCTCAATCCCTGCTCCAGGCTCCAAGCAGGCTCCACACCATGGAACCACCTTATGTCTCCACCTCCCCACCTCATCCCTCAGCCTCTGGGGCTTTCTGGCCTCTGCCCCCCAGGGCTAGCTCCTTACTCAGCCCCGAGGTCCACGTCCCAGCCTCCCGCTCAGGATGTTCACCTGGTTCCCACCTTGTTGACTCCCAGACATTGACACCCCATGCCGGACTCTGGGTTTCATCTGCCAGCTTTACCCCACCCAGGGCCAGAGGCCACCGTGTCCCCACTAGGGAGTGTGTCCAGAGCCCCAACCAGAAGCAGCGCCCCCTCAAGGTTTCTCAAGAGGCAGAGCCACAGAGATGGGGCTGCTTCTCGGTGCAGGGCGACTTCGAACCTGAACTCCCATGGACCCTGCTGAGCACCCAGGGCTCAGCCGCCGAGTGTGGATGATGATGCCTGACCCATGGGGTCGCTAAGGGACTAAACATCGTCATGCATGTAGAATGTAGAACTCCCAGTCAGGCAGGTCCACGGCAGTTTCAGGGCACCACACCTCCCAATCCCTTTTTTTTTTTTTCAGAATGCAATGCCTTGGACTGTTCAAAGGCCCTGAGGGACAGAAGCCCAGGGCCCAGAGTTCCTGCCAACGACCAGGAACCACCATTCCTGCCTAGCTCCCAATGAGGACAATGTCCCCATTAGGAAAGCCTTCTGGCCCTAGCTCCTGGGCCAGCCAGACACTGCTCCCTGCTCAGCCCCATCCACAGCCTCACCTTTCACACCAGGCCTCATACTCCACCCTGCCCACAAGTCCACCCTTCCATCCCTGCCCATCTGGCCAGAACCACTTGGGCAGACTCTTAACTCTGCCATGGTTTCCAGCCTCCCTCATCTGGCCGTCCCCGGCATGGCCCTTGGATACACTCACGGCTCTCTCACTCACCCTTGGATACACTCACGGCTCTCTCACTCACCCTTGGAACGACGCTGGCCTTCTTTCTAGGTCGAGCCCCTTCCCAGAAGGCCGCTTCCCCAACCCAGAGCTGGCATGGGCTCCCTCTGAAGCCGCCGACCCCTCCATGCAGCTTCCCTGATCAACCCTGCACGCCCAGGCCCACGCAGCCCAGGCCCCTGTGCCCAGTACTGGGCTGAGCTGATGGAAGGTGCTGGCTCTCCCCTCCTCTTGTCCCCGCAGCAGGGTCCTGAACATGAAGCCTTTGTGTTCTGTGTGGGGCCAAGTGGGGTTGGGGACGAACGAGGGCATGCGTGGGAGCATTCACCGTGACACAGGGGCACCCTGGGAAGAAGTGGGACCTGGAGCCAGGTCGACCACCTCGTGGGTGCCACACACTAGAGGCTCAGAGTAGACCCAGGACCCACTGGCCCAGAGTCACCTGCAAGGGGAGATGCCGGAGCTCATCTGTGCACACGGAGGTGCAAAGGCCTCAGGCCAAGAAAACCTACTTTCCCTACCTGGGCTCCCTCTGTCCTGGGAGCCCTGCAGCCCGTCCAGGACCCTGAAATAGAGTGTTTGCTAGGAACACAGTCCCTCCAACAGGAGAGTTCTGACTAATGCCACCCCGTGCCCCCCAAACACACACCCATACATACACACTCACACACGGACAAACACATCCACACATGCTCAACTCATGCACACATGCACATACACACATTCTCACATTCACACACTCACACATTCATACATGCATGCACACCCACACGCACATAAGCATGCGATACACATGCATGCACACACGCACGTACATACAAGCACAGCTATGCATACATACATACACATTCGCACACACAGATTCACACATGTACACACATTCACACACATACACACATTCACACACATGCACACCCCCACATACACAGACATATTCAGACACATGCACACATGCACAGATGTATACTCGCACACACACACTTTCGCACACACACACTTTCACACACACACTCTCATATCCACACACAACTCCTTGGCTTTCCTGCCTCTTCCTATCCCGCTGCCCCTCCATCCTGTCTGTGCAGGGAGGAGTTTTAAGCCCCGACTCTGGAGCCTGCCCCAGCACTCGGCACCAGAGTCCCTCCTGGGTGGACTCACAGCTCCCTTCCGATTCTGGGGTGCAGGCTGGTCCCTGGTTGAGAACTCAACCCTGTCCTGACCCCCCTTGCTGGGTTCCCCTCGGGGTGTAGAGTCTTGCCTGGCCCTCCCCTGTAGAGGCCCATGCGACCTAGAGCCCCCTGCGCCCTAGCGTGCATCCTGAGCCTGGCTCTCCTGGCCTTACGCTCTGCATGACGGTCCCACACTCGCTCCAGCCGGCCTCCAGGAGCACGTGTGTGCCATTGCTGTGGCTCACGTTGCAGGAGGGGTGGCTCAGGTACAGCGAGGACTCAGGGATGGATTCCTGCTGCAGGAAGCGCTTCTGGATGGCGACAACCACCTTCTCGATCTCACAGAGCACCCTGACTGCTCCCGTCAGGTTCAGCCGCCGGGGCAGGCCTTGTGGGGTGGGGCTGGTGTCTTGAACAAAGCCAGCCTTGGTCCCTGCTGTGGTGAGAGGCCTCTCTGGGCTGGTGGCCCAGGTTTCGTTGCCATGAGAGTCACCTGCAAGGCACAAGGAGGAAAAGGCAAAGAGTGGCTCTGTGTTTGGGGTTGGCATGGAGGGGCAGGGGTAAGGAGCAGACTGGAGCTGCCCTGCACTCCGCAGCAGCCACACCTGGGAACCGCATGTTCCAGCCACAACTACACGTGTGCGCACACACACACACATGCACACACATGCACCCGCACATGCACACAAGCACACACGCACATGCACACGCGCACGTAATGCACACACATACACACATGCACACACATGCTCACACATGCACACATATATGTGCACACATGCACACAGACGCACACACACACACATATGCAACACATACACTTGTTGCATATCTCCACCAGCTCAGGGAGCCAGGCTCACCATGGGCCCCCAAACTCACTATGGGCCCCCGAGGGCCAAGGACCGAGGGACCTGATGCCGGGGATGTGCCAAGCCAGTGGACACAGGGTGAGTCTTCTGCTCTCAGAGCCCTGAGTCTGTTCTCTAAGATGGGGTAATGATGCCTCCTCTTGAGGTCCTTGTGCCCAAGTTTCCCACTCCAGCTCCCTTCTTGCCCCCAGAGCAGGTTCAGTTTCAATGCCTAGGAGAACAAGGGGGCCCAAAAAGATCCACCCACCCGTTCTTGGGGTGCTCCCTCCCTGGTCTATATGGAAGCAGACCCCAGACACAGCTCCGCACGTGCCCTGCACCCTCCTTCAGCAGTGGCTCCGGCATCTGTGGGCCTGGTTTGTGCCTTCTTTTATCTCAGAGTGGGGCTCGCCCAGCCCCAGCACCCTGCAGCTCCACCCAGCTCACTCCTGTCTCCAGGCTGTAGTCCAAACCATTGCTGAGGCCTTCACAGTTGGCTGCTGCCTTACCCGCCTCCCTGGGCAGCCTGCTTCCTGCTGTCTGCCACCCATCTCCTGCAGGTACCTGCTTGTGAGATCATGCCCGTCAGCAGCTCTGTTCTCACCACGGCACCCACCCACCATGCCCTGCCCTCCCCGCTGGGTGCCGTCTTAGCTATCCGTTAAGACCAGCTTCGAGACACCCCTTCCAGGAAGCCCTCCCCGGCCACACTCCCTGGACTGAAGCAACTTAGCCTCCTCTGTGCTTCCTGATTCTACCTCAAGCAGGACACGTTCTACAGCCCCCTGGATACTGCCCTCACTAGTATAAACGTCCACCTCCCTTTACTTGACGCAGATTCCTGGATAGCAGTGGGCATCTTGGGGTCAGCGCTAAATCCACTAAGACCCCGTTTTTCAGGAAAAGAGCTGAGTGGAAAGAGTGGCCGAGAGGAAACCTTCCCCTTGTGTCACGTGTCCCACGGCTGCGTGTTTCACAAGACGGTCGCTCAGCATCTGCATGTTCACACCTCATGTATGTGTGTATTTTCTCTTCATGGATATCAGAGCTAGCTCTCGGAGAGATAAGGCACTGCCCAGAAGCCTGGACACGTATGAAAGAATGGGAAGGAACGTGCACACGCATGTACACACACATACACATACACCTCACACACACACGTGCACCCACATCACACACAGGAAACTTCCCCAGGACACAGAAATATGACCTCATAGGGACAAGAAGCCCTTTGCACGTGAATGTCCTTAAATAAAACTGATTATGAGATAGTATTCCAGAAAAAGAAACGCTGACATCATTACCTTCACAGGGTCTGCCAGAATATTCCACAGGGAAATCGGGGGCTCCTCTCTCACAGCTACAAGTGAAAGACCCGAGGGTGTTTCGACAGGATGTCCCGGGCACACAGTCGTCCTCTTTCCTTTCACACTCATCGTAATCTGCCAATATTTAGAAGACAAAACAGAAGAACGTCCCCGGGGGCTTGCAGGCTCACAGAAGCCTCAGGGGAGAGTGCGTCTCCCAGACAAAGCTGGAAACTCCAGCCAGAGCAGACTGCGGTGAAGCTGGCCAGTTCTGGAGAGTACAGGAGGCTTCCTGCCGGTGGGGCTGGGAATGGCTAGGGAGGTCTGCAGGGGCTGTTCTGGAAAGAGGATTCTGGCCCAGAGCTGGGAGGGAGATCTGGGCAGAGGAGGGCCAACCCTTCAGTTCCCAGGAGTGACCAGGAGATGCACAGGCCCTCAGACCAGGCCGCAAGCCCAACCCTGGGCAGAAGGCCCTCAGGCCATTTGCCTTTCACCATGATGCTTGGTGGATTATTGACAGCAAAACAGGTTTACTGCAGAACATGGACAAGTACCAGAAAAGCATGACCAAGGGCATGTTGGCATGTGGACATATTTCCTTCCGGCCTTTTAAAATGCAGGCATGCTCTGAGAGCATAGCTTGCCTCTGCCACCACCTAGCTCCATGCAAATCCACAAACCTCGATTCTCATCATTGCACAACAGCTCAGGGCAGGGACACCTGGTAACTTAGCACCTTCTCTGTAACTAGATGATTGGGACTTCCAACTGTTTTGCTTTTAAAGTAACACTGAAGATGAACATCTTTGTATGTAAACTATGGTCCAAACTGAGATCAAATTTGTTAGGACAAAGTCCTAACAAGGATATTCCAGAATCTGATATTTCAGAATCAAGGTGGATGGCCACTTTGAAAGCGCTTGATTTATGTCACCAAACTGGTTTCCAGGAAGCGTGAGCAAATCCTTCTGCCACCAGCAATCTGTGCGAACACCTGCCTCACTACACTTTCACCAGTATTCATGTCAGCAGTAAAAAGACCTTTTTTTGCAATTTGATGGGCAAAAATGTTTTAATGGGGATGTCTTGGGTTACCACATCTTTGTTAGTCATTCATATTTCTTCTTTTATACCTTGTCTGTGTAGATCTTTCGTGCATTTATCCATCAGGTTCTTAATATTTATCATCTATTTGTATGATCTCTCTATATATTTGGGATACTAACACTTCATCAAATTATTGAATTTTTTTTGTTTACTTTGCTTTAAAATGGTGCCTTTATTTTGATTTATCTCTGCATGTAGTCAGTATCTCATCCTTTTCCTCTGAAAATCGTATTTTCTTTGAGAAGTCCTTCTTATTCTAAAAATCAAAAAATTAACATTAATCTTCAATTTTTAAAAGGTCTTTGGTTTCTGATACATGTAACTATAAGCCATTCATCATCTATTTTCAAGTATGATAGGAGAAAAGAATCTAAATTTTCTTTTTCTCCCTGCTTTTCTCGTTAATTATTTTTACTGGGATCTCCTTGGGAACTGTGCTTGGGAGAGGGTCTGGTTGCAGAGAGGGATGTGTCTGCCCTCAGCCCATGGAAACAAGCAGCAGGGGAGCAGTAGACCCCAAAAGAAAGCAGCACCCCTGGGCATCTGCAGGTTTACCCGAAGGTGTTTTCAACACTTCAACTTTTACAAAATTATAATCACAATAAGAGGGACAGAGAGGGTCCTGTCTATTTCACATCTTCATCTAATTCCGGGGGAAGAAGGACTACATGGGCACAACACAACATCTTTCAAAAGCGAAGGGTAGTGGCTGCGCTCTGGCTGCCTCTGGTTCCGGAACATGGGAGAAGCTCAGTGCCATCCTCTCATACCCTGTATGAAGGTGTCGCCTCTGATCACCTCCAGCAGAGGCGCGGTCTGGAAGGCGGTGAGGAATGCAGCTGACACCTCCTGGACATCCACATCTGCGATTATCAGCAAGTGAAACTCCACCACGACGCTGCCATTGGTGACGCCGACGACTTCCATCCTGACCCCGCCGGCGTCCATGTGCTGACGCAGCGTGGCTGGCAGGGAGCCCCGCACCTGTGAGGAAAGAGGCCATGTGAGGAGGTTCCCACGCTGAGAGGAAACAGATGCCCGTCTCAAGGCGGTTCCTCCTGCCAGTCTGCCCAGCAGCAGGGCTGGCCCATAGCACAAAGGTAAAAGCCACAGGTTGGTTCTGGGCCCCTTTCCTGTCTGCCACGTTTTCAAGCCCAGCACAAATGCCTGGGAGTGTCTGTGATATGAGAACAGCCCTTGTTTCCCCCCAAACCAGCAAACAGCTTCAGAAAGATGCCTGTGGGGTAAGTATAGGACTTGGGACACAGGCAGAGACCCTACCTCATGGGGCTTACAATTTGCTGGGGGCTCACAAGGGCTTCTAGAACCTAATACTCCTGGTTTGCAGCCACCGAGGGCAGGAGGCTGAGTGCGGGGTCGTGGGGAGGGACACCACTCCCACTGCCTTCTCTGGAACAGCCCTTTTGCTGCTGACACTGCAGAACATGTCCCCTTTCATTCTCCCTCCCTGCCTGTCCCCAGACTCTTCCAGTGAGCATTTCCAACATCCCTATTAGGACAGGCGGTTCCTGCCCCCAAATGCCCCACTTTCTACTCTCTTTGGACAGAGTCACACATCACACACTATATGATTCCACACTAACCCATCTTGGTCAAAACACCTGAGGCAGGAGAATGGCGGGAACCCGGGAGGCGGAGTTTGCAGTGAGCAGAGATCGCTCCACTGCACTCCAGCCTGGGCGACAGAGTGAGACTCCGTCTCAAAACAAAACAAAACAAAACAAAAAACACCCAGACAGGCAAACAATCTTATAATGAGCTTCGATCATCCTCAATGCAAACCTCCTATGGAAAGGGCACCTCCAGGGTTTGTCCTCACAGGTGCGGTGGCTCAGGGCCCAGGTCATGGACTCACTCCCCAGCTTCTGGGCCGCCAAGGTGAACAGATCCATTGTCCCTCTCAGAGTCTGTGGACCCCAGGGAGAGTGCAGCTGCCCTGGGTTGGCTCAGTAGATGACTGTTGTCGTGACCATCTTCACAATCAGATATTCCCTCTCTCTTTCTCTCAGAGGCATCTGTCATAGTCTTGGATTAATGTGACCTTTAGCTGCATTTCAAACCAACCTCTAAGCAAAGTTCCAGGCCCCTTGCTAGGAAGTGGTGAAGAGCCAGGGACCGAGGCACGCAGCTGACACCTCCTGGACATCCACGTCTGCGGTTATCAGCAGGTGAAACCCCCGAAATTTCTCTAAACATCCTACTTCTGTGATTAAGTTGTGTAATTATTTGCTGTCCTGAAATTCTAGGCAAACAGAAAAACAACATCCCCAAAAATGGGCAAAGGAAGAAATGGTTCAAAGAGGAAAGATTAATCAAGAAACTTGGGAAGGAAATGGAGCTGCCTCGTTTGACCACTAGAGCCAGGTGGAAGGATTCGGTGTTTGTTGTTTAATATTGTAACTACTATTTAACCTTATCAATGAAATCACATTATTAATCAAACCATATTATTAATCAAGCCGTCAACAACTCTTGAATGCACAAACCAGGAGCTGGGAATGAGCTAAGCCACCGGGGCCGGTCCCAAAGGCAGCCGAATCTTCTCATCTGTGGGTGAAGCGCTGGGGTTTGCAGCCCTGGTACGATATTAGCACGACAGGCCCCTAGGTGGCGATGTCATACCTCTCTGTGCTGAGCCTTAAACTCCCAGATTCAAGACATCTACAATGTGAGATTCCACGCAAACAAAATCACTAGATTATGACAAGGGCACTCCCTCTACCTCAAAAAATCCACAAGAAGGCACGTCACTAAACGGTAACAGACAGCGTCTCAGAGAATGCTGAGGGGATGGCAGGGAGGAATGCAGGAAAGAGCAGGAAAAGAACTTTCTCTGAGGCAGGGGCATCGCAGCACTATTTATAACAGACAGAGGCGGGAGCCGCCCAGTGCCCTCAGTGAATGAATGGATGAGCCTGCATGGGTTATGTCCCGGCCATAACAAGGAATGCAGTGCTGACACATGCTGCCACGTGGATGAAATCCGAAAACCTCATTTTAACTGAAAGAAGCCAGACACAAAAAGTCACATATTGTACGATTCTTTTTCTGTAAAATGTCCATAATGGGCAAATCCATAGAGATAAAAAGCAGATTAGTGATTACCAGGAGCGGGAGGAAGTGGTGAGAGAGAAGAGAATGACTTCCTTTTTTTTTTTTTTTTTTTTTGAGATGGAGTCTTGCTCTGTTGCCTAGGCTGGAGTACAGTGGCACGATCTCAGCTCACTGCAACCTCTGCCTTCTGGTTTCAAGCGATTCTCCTGCCTCAGCCTCCTGAGTACCTGGGATTACAGGCACCCGCCACCACGCCTGGCTAATTTTTGTATTTTTAGTAGAGATGTGGCCGGGCTGGTCTCAAACTCCTGACCTCAGGTGATCCACCCGCCTCAGCCTCCCAAAGTGCTGGGATTAGGGCATGAGCCACTGTGCCTAGCTGGGAGTGGCTTCAATGAGGTTTCTTTTTGGGTGATGAAAATGTTCTGGAATTAGTGGTGATGGTTGCACAATTTTGCAAAATAGTCTAAACCATTGAATTGTACAGTTTAAAAGTGTAGATTTTATGGTCTATGAAATAAATCTCATTTTTTATAGGTTTAAAAAAAAAAACATGGAGGGACTTTCTGCTTCATAGGTTCCACAACTGAAAAACAGATTTCACTGGCCGGAAAAGCATGTGAAATAAGGATGCAGCAGAGGAAGAGCTGTGCCTCCTGTCTGCTGACCGTGTCTTTGCCAGGGCAGATCCAGAGACACTCAGGGAGCCAGGCCAGAGCTTATAGTCCTGGCTTTCTTCAGAAATGAAGAGCTCATAGGACCTACAAGTCAAATTCCTAGTTGGATGAGACTAGAATTTTTTTTTTTTTTTTTTATACAGGGTCTCACTCTCTTGTCCAGGCTGGAGTGCAGTGGGATGATCTCAGCTTGCTGCAACCTCTGCCTCCTGGGTTCAAGAGACTTTCCTGCCTTAGCCTCCTGAGTAGCTGAGATCACAAATATGAGCCACCACGACAGGCTAATTTTTTGTATGTTTTTGGTGGAGATGGGGTTTTGCCATGTTGCCCAGGCTGGTCTCGAACTCCTGAGCTTGGGCAATCTGCCCGCCTCTGCCTCCCAAAGTGCTAGGATTATAGGCGTGAGCCACCGCGCCTAACCTAGAATTCTATCAGCCTTCCACCCTTTCTCTCCTGAAAGGAATTAAGGGCTGATATCACCAACTCACCGTCCTGAAGAACAGTTCTAGGAAATCTCGATACTCCTGGCTGCTTGCGTTTCGAAAGGATTCTGAGTATCTGACATTTGCGATTCTGACCTGTCCAATGAGCTTCCGGGCCGCTGCAGGATGGAGGATAAGCACATTTGGAATGTATTAGATAACAAAGTAACATTTCAATATTAATAAGCGTATTTTCATGTCCGTGAAGAGCATCACACCAAGGCCGCCCTGTGTTCTAGAAAGAAGGAATAGTGCCAGGGCTCGGTGACACAGTCCATCAGATGCCAGAGGACACAGGACAAAGCCTGAACACAGTGGGAGAACTTTCCAGAGGATGGAGCCAGCTCAGCCCCTGCAACTGTGTCCTCAACACACACACCCTTCCTTCCTTGCTGCCGTTACCCATGCTGGGGCATTCAAACAATTTACCAGCAAGCTGGCATGACTTGAAGCATGTGGAGGCACCATTAAGTAACTTTGCCAGGGCCACAGGTACAAACTGGGCTGTCCCAGGTAGACCAGGACTTAGAGCCCTGGCCAGGCCTCTGCTCAGAGTGCACAGGGCCACAGGGTGCCCAGGGGTCTTGTTTAGAGCCAGCCCTTCTTCCTTCCCCAGCAGCCCCACCTCCCCTGTCTATGGGCAGTCCCTGTTTTGGCATCATCTGTTCCATCTGAATCTTTTCCCTCCGTGGAGGGCTTCTAGGAGTATGTGGCGCATAAATGTGGTCCAGGAATGTCGCCACCCCCTCCTGGCCCTGGCATGGCAGCCACCCCAGTGTTCAGTCAGTCCCTCACCAAATATTTGTGAAGCACCTGCCATGTGCCAGAGGCATTCCAGACAGTGAAGGAGAAAGACACAGCTCTCCCCTCAGGGGGCTGAGAGTCCATCTCCCCAGAGCTTCTCACTCAGGCTCAAGACAAACCACAGAGCTATTCTGCTATGCATTCCTGGGGGAACCCCAAACTCTCCATCCTTGAGATCATTTTTGTGGCTGCCCCTGAGGGCCTCTGGTTCAGTCTCCATGGCTGGCACGGGCAACCCAATCTGAAAGCCATCAGTAGCAGGACAGGTGCACAGGTGAGAGCAAGTATAAGCATGCCCACATGTTCGGGGTCCCCCATGCAGCCTGTCCCGTCCAGAGCAGCTGAGACCTTCAGCGGCCCAACTCTGGTTCTCAGACCCCAGAGCCACCCTGCCTGACCATCCAGCCAGCACTGATCTCCCTCTTCTCCAGCTGCTTGTGAACTTGCACAGTTCACGTCATGCACTCCCTCTGTTCTCTAATTTCTCAGGCCATGGCTGATTAGTACTTTAAAGCACAGACATAGAAGTTCTCAACTTCTGTTACTGCATCCCAATAGGCCATCTTACGCCTCCCTCAAGGGGTGTGCGCCCCACCATGCAGACCACTGCTATCAATGCTGCCCACGGTGTGAAAACCATCTTACACCTCCCTCAAGGGGCGCGCACCCGACCGTGCAGACCACTGCTACTAACACTTGGGAAACTGCCACGGTGTGAAAACCAGCCTGCAACATCAGACACGCCCTTGACTATCCAGGTAAGGTACACATAAGAAAATACCCAGGTGGTGACGCTAATGAAAAGAAAAGAGGAATTTCATCCAAATATATGTAATATGGTCACCACCCAGCTTGAACGCAGTGGAGTCAATGTTTGATTCATTATTGCTCAATTCTTTAGTTTGTGGCCCCAGGCTCTGGCGGGCTGCTCACAGATCATCCGTGTGACTGCCGGTTGTCGGTTGATGTCCTTCCTGAAAGCCAAGTCCTCTGAGACTGTTGAGATCAGAGGGAGTGGATGCAGCTCAACAGCTGAGTTGCTTCCCCAAGAGGACACAGGGGAGCCACACCCGCAGCCTACCAGGCACAGTCTGCAGCACTCTGCCACCGCCTCAGAGCCAGCGGGTTGCCTAATGCCTTTTCCTGAATAAGCCGCCTCCTGCCTGGCCGTCATTGCATGCCTGCTGAAGCCAGCCAGATGTCCCTAAGCTGAGAGGAACAATGACACTTAGCAGCCCACAAACTAATCCAGCTCTCTTAAGCCTTAACCCACAGAAAGTCTTTTTCATACTTTTTATTCCTCTCTTTAAAAACAAATGGGAGGCCAAGGTGGGTGGATCACGAGGTCAGGAGATCGAGACCATCCTGGCTAACACGGTGAAACCCTGTCTCAACTAAAAATACAAAAAAATTAGCTGGGCGTGGTGGCGGGCGCGTGTAGTCCCAGCTACTCGGGAGGCTGAGGCAGGAGAATGGCGTGAACCCGGAAGGCAGAGCCTGCAGTGAGCTGAGATCACGCCACTGCACTCCAGCCTGGGTGACAGAGCGAGACTTCGTCTCAAAAAAAACCAAAAAACAAAAAACAAAACAAAACAAAAAACCAAGTGGAAGCCCATTACCTGTCCTCACTTTCAGATGAGCTCTGGCACCTTCTTTCCCACATGCTTTGGCCACGATCTCAACCAGGTGCAAGATGCCAGGCTCCAGCCCCGACACCGTCACACTCGTGTTCCAGGTCTCCAGGACCATGGTGGGGCTCCATGCGGAAGTCAGAGTGAGCTGGAAGGCGGAGTCCAAAGCAAGACCTGCCTCCCACGCCAGGTGGAAGCTTGTGCTGGTCACATTGGAGACCACGATCCTCCCAATGGAGACGGGAACTGGGAAGTGGAATAGAAACACCAAAATTAAAAATCAAGCCATTTCTAGGAGAAAAGAAGCCTCGCCCAATGCCAAAAATCAAATTCATCACCGTGGGGACATGAGTGATTTGCAGGTGATGGCCGCCAAAGTGATGGTTGAGTAGGATCCTGTACAAACCTCCCAAGCGCGGGCTTCCTGGGCCTGCATCCTTGCGCCTCCTCAGGATGATAGCAAATGGCTTCTGGTTTGGTTTTGTTTCAGCAAATGGCTCATATACATCCCTGAGGCCCCTGGACTCCCCAAAATGAAGGCCTCTTGAGCAGGTTCTTGGTAGCGCCTCAGAGGGACCATCTACTCTTGACCCCTGGGTGGATTTACCCAGGATCCAACTAGGGGTCGATATTGGTGACAATGCTGGCTAGAGAACCATTCTTACAGGAGGACCTCAGGGCCCTCGGTAATACTGACTTACATGGGCTTAAGAGTTTAGTCTTAGAGCCTGCTTAGCAGAGGAAATGCATTGAGGAAGATCACATTTAACAGTTCATTAGCATGAAATCCAGAGGCAGACTAGCTCTGCAAGCTCACAGGGCTGTCATGGCCGAGACCCAATTCCTGCACAGAGCTGCTGTGACTCTCCTGAGATGTCACCTGGGGGCTTGGTGATGGCTCAATCTTCCACAGGTAACATGGAACTGCTGGGGTTACGGTATGACTAGAGGTGCAGAACAGCTGAGGGGTGCAGGAACCCTGGATGTGTAGAGCAGATGGGGGTACAGAACACTTAGGGGGTAAAAAACAACTGGGGGTGTAGAACAGCTGACAATGCAGAGCATCTGTGGAGGTTCAACATCTGGGGTGAAGAGCAGCTGGGGAAGTACAGAACTGTGGGTGTAGAACAGCGGAGGGAGCACAAAGCAGCTGGGAAAGCGCAGAACATCTATTGAGGTGCAGAACAGCTGGGGAGACACAGAACAGCTGGGGAGATGCAGAATCTCTGAGACATATAGAACAGCTGGGCAGATACAAAGCAGCTGGGGAGACACAGAACAGCTGGGGAGATGCAGAATCTCTGAGACATATAGAACAGCTGGGCAGATACAGAGCAGCTGGGGACACACAGAACAGGTGGGGAGATGCAGAATCTCTGAGACATATAGAACAGCTGGGCAGATACAGAGCAGCTGGGGAGACAGAACCGCTGAGGAAGTGCAGAACAGCTGGGAGAGCTGGGGGTGCACAAAAGCTGGGGTGCAGCCCACTTTGGTGTGCAGAGCAGCTGCAGGGCTGCAGAATGCTTGGCAGGATGACAGAACAACGGAGGGGTGCAGAACAGCTATGGGAGGGCAGCATTACTGGGGGGTGCAGAGTTGTTGTGGGGGTGTCATCACACTGATTGGGGCTGGGGCAGGTGGGGGCACAGCTCTGCTAGGAGGCAGGACAGCGGGGGTGGTCAATGCCTCAGGGGATGGCTCCAGTACCTAATGCGACAAGTAAGCCGCAGTGCCTGCTCCTGAAGGCAGACCTCTGCCCCAGCGGCTGCAGACAAGGAGCCCTAAGACTTGGGGAAGAGAGGGCTGGGACAGGCAAGGGGACCAAGCTGTCTTCCTAACTCAACCAGAAACCAGCTGCTGGGCGCCTCCGTTTCCTCACGCACAAGATGAGGCTGCTGCCTAAGCATTGCTAGCAGCCTGCGACTCCATGGCCGCGGGAGCTTTGCCACCACAGGCTCACACAGGCTATGGGTCCTATTAGTCCTAGTCCCCATGCACCATTCGAGGAACTCACCACAGGCGGGGGTCTTCAGAGGTGTGAGGGTGGGGGTCGATGGCAGGTCGACAGAACCGGAGGGTCCACTGTCCTCATTTTGCAGCCACGTGGGATTCAGAAGTGTTTCCCAGGTGGAACGGGTGGCATGCCACACGACGTGGCTGGTGGAGTCCTCAGTAGGGGAAAGCCAGGAGAGTGGCTCCATGGTGGAATTTCCCAGTAGCTGTCCAGGGAGGGCCAGTGGGCCATCTGTGGCCCCAGGAGGGAAGCTGTGGGTTGACCCAGGAGCCTTCGGGGAGGAGGTGGTGCCTATCACCCCAATAGTGTTCCTAGGACCGGGGCTCACCTGGTTGGGGCTCCCCTGGCTGGTGCTCCCCTGGCTGGGGCTCGCCTGTCTGGGGCTCGCCTGTCTGAGGCTCCCCTGGCTGGTGCTCCCCTGGCTGGGGCTCCCCTGGCTGGGGCTCGCCTGTCTGAGGCTCCCCTCGCTGGGGTTCACCTCGCTGGGGCTCCCCTGGTCCATCCCCAGACCCAGGGCAGTGCTGGGTGCTTCCTGCTCCTCGCCTTTTCCTGTGCTGTTCCTGTCATACCCGACCACACTGCTGCCTCCTCTCCTGGGCGGGGGCCCTGGGGCCCAGTCCTGGCCTGCTGCCGGGGTGCCCTGAGGGTGCCCAGGGCTGGGTGACAAGGTGAAGTTCTCTAGGCCGAGGGCTGCTGTTCCCGTGCCAAGAGCTGGGGCCGTTACCCCTGTCGCCGCAGACAGCCCATTGTCCGTGGGGCTCACCAGGTCACCTGCCAAGAAACATCCACTGTCAGAGCCTGCTGGATCCCACCCATGACTAAGAGCCTCCCAGGAGGGCAGCACAACCGTCCAGCAGGACTGCTGTGCATCCCCGCGTGGACCTGGCCAGGGCCGCAGGCGGCTTCAGCCAGCGTTCGGGAGAGTTCAATGGGCTCATGTTTGCAGGCTCCCCGGGAATCTCCGAAGGCAAGTCACGCCTCCCTACTGGATAAATGAGGAGACTAAAGCTGAGGGTGAGGGATCCACCCGGGGGGCTACAAAACCCGGACTTGAAAATGCAGGGCTTGGTTCTCACAGGCCTCAGATTAATCCATCAGGACTCTGGGAAAATGGGACAATTTCCCCCAGATTTGTGCTCAGTGTGGGACTTGGTGCTGGATGCTGTCATCGACTTGCAGGACGTTAGGCAAATAAGAAAAACAGGAGAAGACAAGGTGTGGGTGTTAGGAAGCAGAGCAGCACTCGCAGTGTCTAAGAAACATTCTCCCCAGAGAACAGGTCTCAGCTGCTCCTTCCAGCTAGAAAGGCCTCAGCGGGGGCTGGCAGCCGGTGGCTGGGCGCCTCTGCCATGCCTGCATCCGGGCCGACATGGCTCATCAGTCACTGCCTTTTAGGCCCTCACATGGCCTCCTCCTGCTGCTCAGCTCAGCACCCCAGGTATCCCCAACCCTCTCATCAGAACTGGCCTACAGAAAAGACTGGGGGCTGATACGGCAGGACTAGAGGTCAGCGGCCCCCATCGAGCCCCTCTCCAGCTTCTCTGGGCTTCCACCCCTTCTTGGGCTCCAGGCCACCTAGGGAGGAATCCCTTGCCCCAGGCTGCATCCTGACTTCTGTGGGCCCAAGGAACTTGGCCTTCATGGACCCCTGCACCCCTCCACTTAAAAATTTATCAAAAATTACATTTTATAATGACATTTGGATAGCGATGAGTGTAATCCAGGCTAGATTCATTGTTTTATGTATATTTACTGTCCTTCTATTAATTTCTTTCTTCTGATTTTAAAAGAAATGGAAATGAAAACATTTCTGTGGGTCCCTAACATTACCATAGGTCCTCAGCGCTGTGCCGATGGAGAATTGGACCTTGCCCCATCCCCAGATTCTCGGGCAGGAGGCCTTCTCAGAGTTGGCAGGGGGGTCGACACGTACCCTCACAGGCCCGGCCTGCGCGGGAAGGGGTGGCGTCCCTGGTGGTGCGGCACTGGCAGGTGTAGGAGCCCTCCAGGTTGATGCACCAGGCAGCCGGCGAGCAATCGTGCTCTGTGCTGTCCACACACTCGTCCCAGTCTGCCAGGGGTAGACACAAGACAAAACCCATGAGAAAATGGCCAGAGAGTGATCAGAAGACAGACCCATGCTGGAAGGAGTCCTTCCTAGCCATCTTTGCAGTGAACGGCCGGGAGCAGGGGCACTTTTGGGGCAGAAGTGGGGCATTCGTCCAACACTCTCATGACAAGCTTATGGCCTGCCCGTGCCCACCTTCACATCGGTTGGCTTACTTGGGGGCAAAGATTAGGAAATGTTGGTTTCTTTGGATGATATTAGCACCCACAGGTGCGCATCTAAACCTCTCTTCTTTATTCTCTGTTTCCACACCCCAAAAGTTGAAATGCTTTCTCCTCTCTCTTTGATGTGCCAACATTCTCCAATACTTAGTGTCTCAACCAAGAAATGGAAAAGTAATTGAGCCGGGGGTGGGGGTCCAGCTGAGTATAACATGAACTTCCCACGCCGGGGGTGGGGTCCAGCTGAGTATAACATGAACTTCCCACGCCGGGGGTGGGGGTCCAGCTGAGTATAACATGAACTTCCCACGCCGGGGGTGGGGGTCCAGCTGAGTATAACATGAACTTCCCACGCCGGGGGTGGGGGTTAGCCTGAGTATAACACGAGCTTCCCACGCCGGGGGTGGGGGTCCAGCTGAGTATAACATGAACTTCCCACGCCGGGGGTGGGGTCCAGCTGAGTACAACATGAACTTCCCACGCCATTCTAGAGCACCCAGGTGTCTCCACAGGTGTGCTCCTCCTCCTGTGCCCCAAAGACATGTGATGTCATGTCACTGGGGGGCCCGCCTTGGGGAGAAATGGGGAGGACAAGGACAATGTAGTTCCCAGGGGGGTGGCTGAGCTCATCAGGGGCCAGGCCCCGCTGGGTGGTGACAGTGCCTTCTGTGCTTCTGCAGAGCTGCCGGTGGAGGTACTCAGGAACGCACTCACACCCAGCATGCCACAGAAGTTCCAATTCAGTTGGAATTTAAGCCACGATGTGGGATCAGTTCAGTTCTGTGCAGAGAAAACCCTGCCGCTGAGTGCTCAGAGTCTCATTTCGTGGCTTTTTTTCTGTTGTGTTTCCTGCAGTCTCCACAGAAGCAGCTTCCCTGGAGAACAGCAAGCTCGTCAGCTGCCACAACAGCTATGCCACCACCCTGGCATGGCCTGGGGGCTGCCTTGCCATCAGAACACTGCGGGTGCTAACCCACACCTCTTCCTGGGGTGCTACTCAACCTCCAGCTGACCAGTAACTCTCCTAGGGGTGCTCCGGGTTGGGTTTGGAGCCTAGGCTGGCTGGGTTGCAGTCCATGGACAGCAGAGGCACCAAGCAAGCCGCTGGCTCAAACCACCAAGCACCTCGTGTCTATTTTGGTGTGTGGTGATTCACCTAGTCCTCACTCCTCCGTCCCCCCAGACAGCTCCCAAGCGAGCTCAGAGGAAGGCGCTGACAGCTGTATTTAGTCTTGCATTACGCCTTGAGGCTTGTCGGCCCTCCAGTTCAGAGGAAGAGGCAGGTGTGGGAGCAGAAAGAGCTGCCAGCAAGCCTTTGCACCCTCCCGGGCTGGCCAGGCAAGGGCGCAGAGCAGGCAGGAGCCCAGGGCAGGACGCTGCACACTGCTCCCATTGGCCCCGCAGCCAGGTGTGGTGGCGGGCGCCTATAATCCCAGCTACTGGAGAGGCTGAGGCAGGAGAATCACTTGAACCTAGGAGGCAGAGGTTGTAGTGAGCCAAGATCGTGCCATTGCACTCCAGCCTGGGCAACAAGAGCAAAACTCTGTCCCAACAAAAAAAAAAAAAGAAAAGAAAGAGACCCACATGTGGGCAGTTGTCCAGCTGCCTGGAAGTGCGGGGGGTCCTGACCACAGACACAGTGAACTTCTGTCCCTTTCCCCCGAGAGGACCTTCCATCCCCATTTCACTGAGGGTCCTGGGCTGACCGAGGAGACACAGGTGGGCTGGTTGTTCAGGGCTACTGCCCTGGCCCCTGGTTCCGGTGGAGGAAGATAGAATAGGATTTGCATTTCTTTACCCTTTTAAATAAAGGAAAGACTGACTCAAAGTCACCAAGAGGATTTCTGAGCTGGAGGGCACCAGGCAGCAGGGCCGGTGGCTGGGCTGTACCTTGCACACGTGTCCCCTGCCGGTCAATCTGGAACACCGTACTTGCCAACAGGGGCCGGAGCATGGGGGCCAGCGTGGAGACACCCACGGGAACCCCAGGGTCCTGCACGGTGAGCTTGAGCCTCACGACCACGCTTCCGGCCTGGAGAGACACGATCTGCATCCTCAGTTTCCCACCTCGGTACAAGTCAGACACCGCCGGCGGGAAGGAGCTCTCGACCTAGCCAAGAAGAGGCAACAGCTACTCAGACAGCAGACGTCCATCAACATCTTCACGACCGTTAAGCAGGGTTCCAGGTGTGACCAGTGGATGGTGCATGGAGCCATTTCTCTCCTCTACAATCAAGAGGAGGCACCCAGCGACCGACCTCTCAGAGCAAGCAGGGAGGTCCATTCACAGCACCTTAGCTGGGCTTTCCCTGGGATGGCCAGGCCTGGCCTGGTGTGTGCTGGGGACTCACAGTGACCACTGCAATCAAGCTCCCAGTCATGGAGCATCAGATGGACAATCCCCTCCGAGTGTCCTGAAAACTGATGTGAAGGTCATTTGTGTGAGTGTGTGAGAAAGACTATTGGATTGATTGATAAATGGATTGATAGATGGAGAGGCCCCATCAAGGAACAATGCCTACAGCTCTTTGGAGCTGTCCCCCCACTTACTAGGCTGTATCCCGCAGAAAACATGCACACAGAGCCAGGTGCTTAGGGTTACCCACGCCCAAGCAAGGAAGATACCAGCCTGATTCCCCGCCTTTCTGCCAACCCATACTTGCACACACAAGTGAGTTAACATTGAAAAAGGGAGGGAGTTCTCTGAAAACAATGAAAACTGGATTCCCCCTGCAGGCGAATGTTGGGAAGCAACGCTCTGCGGGTCTCTGGCATTTCTACACATCTTGCAAGTAGAAGCACTAACTGCCCTTTTGTTCCAGAATATCTTTCCAAGGATGTTTGCATAGTAAACAGCCTTGGGAGGGAGAGATAATGGCTCCCTCCAAAGCAAAGGGCAGGTTTGTTACTGTCTGATGTAACAGATAATGCCTCCTTCTGGAGCAAGTGCTTGCACCCATTATAAAAGATTCAGGTTCCCTAGGGTTGGGGTTCCTCAGCTCAGGTGCAGACCCACTTTATGTGCTTCATGCCCCTGGGCCCCTCTGCATCACCTCTGTGGGACTCGGGTGCAGGAAGGGGAACTGGCACAACAGCACACGCATGCTGCCTGCTGTGCTGTGAGTAATACGGTCTTCTGTCTCTGGCCCAGGAGTCTCGTGTCTTCTGCCAGCATGCATGACACTGTGGTAGACTCACTTGTTAGTTTGCAGGGAGGGTAAAACCTCAGACCTTATGTGATTCTTGGCAGCTTAGGAAGTCACTTTTCCCTCCAATGCACCATCTGTGGATAGATGTACTTCCCACTGGCTTGCTTCTCCCTGGCTGTCTGCTGATGTCCCCCTTTAGTCACGAGGGAGGAATGGATGCCGTGATTGCTGGTAAACGCTTTGCTAATGAAGCTACGCCAGAGCTGGAAGACAGAGCCCTCAGACAGAAAGTTCCACAGAAAATCCAGCAGTCAGATTAAATGGTGTAGACCATTTGAATAAAGGCACATATTTTAAAGATGGATCGGCCCCGTATCTGGATTAAGCACCCCATAAAAGCAGGGGGGAAGCTTTTGAGTAATCACTGTGCAATTTGGGTTTGGCCTCCCCTGGAGCTGCAGTAACATGTATTTTTGCCACAATCCCAGAGGAAGAGCTGGGCAGAAACTGGCTTGTGTTTGATGTCCTCACTCAGAACGCCCAAGAAAAGATTTTTATGTCTCATTGTGGCTTTACCTCGTGAAGCAGTTGTCTAGAAAAGTCCTGGAACTCCATGCTGCTGTGGTTGAGTAACCTCTCTGTCAGGTTGTGGTTTACAATCTTTATTGTGACTTCAAATACCTGGGCATCTGAGACAGACAGTGAAACAAATTAGCCTGTGGTCAAAAGTCACACACTTGTCTGTTAATGTTTTCCATGAAGCCTACTCTTTGGCGGAGAATTTTTTTTAATAGGTTGGGGCATGAATCTTAGATTGAGGTATCCTAATTGGGGGAAATAAACGTAAGAAACGAAAGAATAAACAATCACTTTTACGTCCAGGGCAGAGACATCCCAGGAAGGAGGTGCAAACGTCACACACAGCCCGTACCCACAGGAACTGGGATTCAACCAGTGCATGGAGGGTCCTTTCCCATGGGGTGGCTGCTGCTTTCCTTTGCCCTATTCATAACCACAGGGCCCAGTGGGTACTCACACAGGGCCCTTACTCAGGCCCCCAACATCAGGGTGACCGAAGGGTTCCAACCTGCCTGGGACGTTCCAGAATTTAGCCCTGAAAGTCCAATCTCTCAAGAACGTACTCAGCCAGTCAAACTGGTAGGGTTGCTCACTTACAAGGGAGGTTGCATTATTTTTGGACATAAGCAAAGATGGAAAAAAGGTTCAAGATGGGACACGGGAATATTCGTCTCTCATTATGAAAAGAAACTCAGCATGCACAACCCAAGTGTCGGCAGGCACAGGAGCAGGTCGGCTGCAATTCTGCACATTTCTCTGGTTATCTAACAGCCACCCACAGCTGTGCCCCACCCTGGCTCTCTCCCAGCTGGCAAACTACGGGCCATCAGAGAGTGTGTCACCTATGCAAGCCACACTTAAGGCTGCAGAAATGCCACTAATGTCGTATATTGTATATTTCCCAGTTGGGGCCCCTGTGAATCTCCCATCTTAGCAAGAGGGAGGAGCACTCCTTGTGGCCTCCGATTCTCAGGCCCCGACGTATCGCAGAGCCTCGTGGACCAGCGGCCTCCTCCAGGACCCTGGGAATTGGACTCCCTGGAGGCTCTGGGCATCAGGTGCCACTGTAACACCTGCCCTGCTGCCTCCTGGCGTCACAGGCTCATGACAAGGTGGAATTAGACAAGGCCTTTAAAGCAAATTGGGCTTCTTCAAAAAGGGCTCTACAAAAGAAGGGCATTTTTATAATCTGGAAAAGGAAAGAAAATCAAGGCTGGGAAGTGGAATAGGTTGGTAATTCAGGAGTCTTCTAGAGTCTTCCAAATTATCTGTGCCTGACATTGCAATGTAGGTATTTTTTTCCTGAGGGCACGGGGTTGGCGGGGTGGGGAGGGTAAGGGCCCAGGTTTGGTGGGGTGGGGAGGGTGAGGGCACGGGGTT